ATGGAATCAAAATCCGTCAAAAGTTTTTTTGAATGAGCATTGCCAGAAATAAAATACAGCAATATAGTTATAAACTGAATTCTTTTTAAAATCATTTTGAAGAGACGTGGTGGCTCTGGGAATAGAGCGCTTGCCTTCCAATGAGGTAAACTGGGTTCGAATCCCAGCAATGAATGGTCGATACTAATTCCGCACCCGGCTCGCCCTGACCACAGTGCTGAGCTAAGATATATCCTCAGTGGTAAACGGATCATGGTTTAGAGTCCCTTTGCCATCAGATTTGTTCGTGGTTTTCCTCTCCATGCAATGCAATTGCGGGTTAGTTCCGTACAAAAGTTCTCCTCGAAATCAAATTTCTCCCAATACTTGTCCCAAGAATTCCCTTGTTTTCCTGATTCAAAATTACAATGTTACGGAGTTGAACATTGGAAGACGTAAACTCAAAATTTAGTCGGCTGTTTAACGACGGTTATAAAAATAAATAAAAAAGTTAATAAAAAAAAATTCCAGCCATTTTTTAACTTTGACACATCAGATTTATTCTTATCAAAAAAGGTATGAATTTAATCGGTTGTTTTTAATCACTCTCGTGTCTTAGCTCTTGTTTATTCGCAATATTTTGACCTTTGTTTATTTGGAACATTCTACATAAAAAAAATACCATCTTTTGAACAGATGCCAGATATTTTTGAAAGAATCGGTTATGGAATGGCAACACTTCGTTACTCTCGGTTTGATCTGTTTTATATTCACAAGTTCTTCGTGAACGAATAGAACGAAAGAAAGAAATAGTACCGTCATTCGAAGAGGAGTAAATTTTTCGATTGAGACCGTTGTTTTTTCAACGACCTGACTCGTTTGGGAAATAAACCGATGTATTTTTTATTTTATTTTTTTCCCTCAGTTTCTAACCCCCAACCCTACGCTATGTTTTTTTTTCCTTCTGTAGTTGATTGTAAAATCAATTCTTTTTGAGATCACATCGCATTAAACTTTTCCTCTTGTGAAGAACCACCTATCACGTTTTACCTTTTCTTGGTTTGTTCCATGTAAATTTTGGAGACCTAGTTTGATTAACTTAGATTTTTAACTTTTGGCCCTAAGCGTGATTGCTGGGATCTGCTTATTTAGTGTTCTTAGCGTGATTAACATTTCTTTCCTTTTTTTTCATTATTTCTGACATGTGTTATGCTTTCGAAATTATATTTACATAGTTTACTACTTTCTTTCAAAGTAGGACATTTTTTCTTTCTTTCAACAGTGGAGTAAGTCTACCAAATTACAAAAAAGATTGCATTTCTAATTTCAGGAACTAGTCATCATTCTTTTTATTATTATGTTACTGAAATGGAAAGTCGCGAAAATGAAAGGAGGAAAAAAAATGGTAATTGACATTCTTCAAGAGTACTAGAAATTATAGGTTTATTATAATTTTTTAAAATTATTTCTGATACGTTAATTCCCTAATACACCGATTACTGATTGACTGATCCGGCATTATTGTCATTTGCTAACATGCTTTGTAATTTATGAAAATTTTTATTAAAATAAGTTAGCATTAAAGTAATAAAAAAGTACCAAGATTTATTTTGTCTAGTTATATTATCGAAAATGTTTTTTCTTCTTTTTTAAGTTTTTTTAAATTTGTTATTAATTTTTTTAAACTAAGTTTGACAGAGTTTAGCTTGATTTGGTAGAATAATTTATACATTATTAACTTTAAAATCTGCTATTTTGCGATTGTGCATCTTTTTATATGTTTTGATAAGCATTTTATAATTACTTTCTTATCGAATTATGTTTGGGTAATTTTTGTTTCTATTAAATTAAAGTAAATGAATAATCAATAAAAATTTAAATAAATTATTAATAATAGAACAAAAAAACTGGAAATAAACGGAAATATACTTATTTTACATATTCGTGCGACGAAAATTAGCATATTTTTTAGTGACGACCCGTGATTTTTTTGTGTGGAAATTATACTTCAATACCAATTATTTTATTCAATCTCTGGGATTAATAAAATAAAATAATTGTAGGAAATTGTTTTCTTTTTCTTAGAAATTGATTTATTTTAATAGATTTATACCGTCACTAACAATAACTTTGGAACAATTATTACTTCAGTTAAATTGTATTAAATCCGCTACGCCAAAATTTTCGCTTATTTTACTTTGGAAGTCTTTCCTCCTTTTGTTAACTATTTTCTTTTATTTGTGTGGTGTGGTTGACTAGATCTTTATATAAATTTTAATTTTTTTTATGTAAATATCCTTCTACTATTTTATCAGAACTCTGTTCATCAATTTTATTACTGCTGATTCAAACTATAAGGAGAAAAAAGTAACTTATTTTTTTTATTCTGTTAATAACATTCTTGTGGAGCTTTCCTGATCGAAACAAAAGGAGGAAAAATTGTTCTGCTAAAGTTTTTCTGAAAGGTGCTAATATTGTTACGTACTCAGCAAGTTCTTAACATCCGTCCTCCATCTTAATACTGCCGTTTGGTTTGTTGGTAGTATTCCGGATATTTCGGAACTATTTATTTCAGAAAGCCAGAGAGAGTCACATAGCATTTTGAAATTCCTTTTTTAAATGTAGTACAATTTCATATTTTTTTTTGAGCTAATATAATCGTTTTTCTTTTGTAACTTCTTTTAGAAATGTAACTTTATCTCAAAATAAGTCAAGTACCGTTTGATTTTCCTACGTAATCAAGATCAGCGTGGTCCAAAAAACTTCATTTTAAAAAGAAATTTAAATTATAATAAATTTTTTAAGTAATAAATATTTATAAAATTTTTTGAAAATTATGTTTTTCTATGTAGACTATAACGAAGGAAGTAATTCTATTTTTGGCAATGCCTGAAGCGTAAAACATAGGGGGGTTCACTTTAAAAAGAGGAGGGGGGAAGGAATTTTCTGTGATGAAGTTTATTATAAAAGTGATGATGTATTCAAGGTATGACAAAAATAGAAATATTTTCTTTTTTTTCACGTTATTAAGCCTGAAAAAAGAAGTATTTTCTAAATTTTTGCCCATATTGTTGATCTGACAAAAAATGAAGTAATTTCTTCTTTTTAATCCACGTTATAGGTCTGACAATAATCGAAGTATTTTTTTTTGTCCACCTTGTCTTCTTTATTTTGTCCACTTTGTCTTCGTTTTTTTTGTCCACTTTGTCTTCTTTTTTTTTTATCCATGTTGTCTGACAAAATTAGAAGTATGTTCTTTTTTTTTCACAATGAAATATTTTTTTTAAATTTTATATTATTTTATTATTTTTTATTATTAATTCATATTGTGCTTTGTGTTTGTTTCTTACTTTTTTTTGTCAGTCTGTTTATTTTTTTATTTATTACGTGTAAGTGAGAACTATAAAACAACCCTTACTAATATTTAAGGTATTTTTTGAGGTGTCATGATTGATTTGAGGTTTATTCGAAGTTGATTTCAAATAGAACCTTAAAAGATCAACCTCCCAACGTGTATAATCAAGGAGTATGAAGTTGTTTTATTCACATTTGAAGTTGTTTTGAGGTTGATGGAAATCTGCTTTAGAGCAACCAGCTTAGGAAGGTTGTTTTTACTGTATGGATTATTTTTTCTATACTTCAAACAAATACGTATATTTGAGGTGTGAATAATTTCACCAGATCTAAACTAAAGTTATTTCTGAGTTATACATGAGGTTGATTTTGTGAGGTGTAAACGAGGTTGACATTGAAGTTTATTAATGAGGTTATTTTTGGTGCAAAACATAACCTCATTTTATACCTCAGGTGTATTTTTCACATCTGTCAACCTCAAAACAACCTCAAAAGCACCTTATTTTTTGTAAGGGAAGGCTTTCTGCTGCAAGTAAGACATTTCAAACTGGTATATTTGCACAGTTGTGGAACTCTGTATTAATTTTGCGCTCATATGTTAAGTTCATGTGTGCTATGTTGATGTTATTTATGTTGGTTACGTTAAAAATATTTATTTATGTTTTATCTCAGTCTGCAGCTGTATTTGTCGACGAACTATTACGAATTTCGACATTTATTGAGAATAAATAAAACTTGTTCCCTAAGCTGAATGCAGCAAACCGAACACACATTTTTCCGAACTATCTCCGCTTTTTAATTGAATTTTCAAATAGTCCTTTATTACGTTAAAATATTATTTGATACTTTTTTCACAGTTTACAACTATATTTATCGACAAACTATGTAACTAATTTTAAAATTTAAAGTGAATAAATAAAACTTGTTCTCTAAAAAAAATAATTCTAAGAGTAAATCCCTTTTTTTCCGAAGTATTCCGCTTTTCTTTCATTGAATTTTCAGCTAAAAAGATACATAATGTTGAACTATAATTAAGGAAATACGCTCTTTTAGGATTTTTCTTGTTTTTAAAAAAATGAATAATGATTTAAGACCTCAAAGCAGGAATACCAACCAAATTACATCCTACATTTGTATATTGGCGTTTATATTGTCCGCTTCTAACTTGTAGTCCGGAATTCCCAGTTAGAAATACAAATATGAATTACATATATTTTTGACCGCGATAGCCTGGTCGGTAGGGCGCTCGGCCCATGTCCGAGAGTTCGTGGGTTCGAACCCCGCCGTCCGAAGACTCCCCGTGTAGTTGGTGACTGATGCACGTTAAAATTCTGTCGAGTCGCAAAGTCCTCCATAGCAAATCAATACCTCTGGTGGTACTGGATTGGAGATCGATCGTTCTCTGATTCAGGTCAAAATTACGATCTGTGTATGAATGGATCCGCCTTATAAACAGGTGTGACGTCTGATGTGGCAGAAGTATAATTATTGGCCATAGATGGCCCCCACTGAAAAACAAGAATCGCACACTCCGCCTTAAATTTGCTCGGTTTCACCAAGCAGGCTTGCCCGTGTGGCAAGTGGCATTAGAATCAACCAATCAACCAACATATTTTTTTAAACTACATTTGAAGTATGGCTAACAATATATTTTTACTCCTTTCCAGGTTCATGTTAAAAGATCACCAAGCCTTTTTTGTTGGGACGAAATCTCCATTGTTTGCTTTTAAACCTGAAAGAGTGCCGGTTGTGAAGTTCGACACCTCTTGCAGTTGCCTCATCAGTTTGATGCTGTGATGACGTCCACTTACTCTGCAACACTTCCACCTCTTATATTGCGAGTCAAAAATCTCAAATGATATCTACTTAAGTGACACCCAGACCAATTTACATTACGCACGCTATACATAAGATCACTGGACAAAAAAATAATAATTCATGAGTGAAAAGCATAGTTTAATGTTATATGTTACCCCTTTTCTGGACTTGACAGCCTGGATTTGGTTAGGAAGTGTGCTCATCCAATCCCAGAATATAACTTTGCAAAACCACCTAATTGCAGCGATGCAGATTTCAGACTTTTAACTGATGTTCTGATATATACGGCAGATTTTCTGTGTGGTTCAAGTCAGGTGATTTTACAGGCAAATCGCATTGAAATAGTGTATGACTGTTCATTAAACCAGTCACATATTCTTCCAATCCAATGAAATTTGCTGTAGTCTTATTAAAAAGTAAAGACATCAACAGCATCCCCCTATTTTTATATTAATGTCAAGTGAATTACCAGGCTGATCAAAATGGAACAGACTGTGTAAGTGTTCATAAAACCAGTTACATATTCTCTTAAATCAATGAAATTTGTTCTTGTCATCTTGAAAAGTAAGGATATCAACAGCGTTACTCATTATGTAGATGTTTACTTAAGGACAACACTTGATCATATAGAATGTTAAAATAAACATTCTGGTTCGTGTTAGTGGTCTCCTCGATGAGAGAGCCTAATCCAAAAACGACCCATGACAGACTCACTTAGTGATTTCTCTTGGAGTGAATGATTTTTTGTTTAGCGAGCTGAATTGAGACTCAATTCTCAATTTCTGAAGAGGAAAATACGTTACCAATTGGGTACTTGCAAAGTGATTATACCTAACCATGTGATTTAAATCAGATTTAATTGGGTACCTGTAAGTGACATCACGCGTGTTTCGAATATGATTAACTTCATAATCGACAATTGTTGTGATTTACCTACAATGACGTCACTTGCAGGTATTCAATATTGGTAGCTGTGTTCAGTTCAGATTAGTAAACAGAATTACCTAATTTAAAATAGTTGATACTATTAAAAGATATGCAATGAAAATGAAATATTTTGTGTTTGATGAATTTTAAATATGAATTGTTAGTATTTTACCATGACTTAAGGATCTAACCACCCTATTCAAAAAAATCTTACGGTGCTAATTTTTCACTTGATTTCCAAAATTTGTGGTTTATATTTATAAAAAATGAAAGTTATTGTAGATTAATTTACTTAAGAACTTGCTGGACGACGTTTAACTCTAGTTTCGCAAAAATTTTATTGACAAAACATTTATAAAGTACGAATTTTTGGAATTATGTGTAATGTAATTTGTTTGTGTTAAGTATATAACGCATTTAATTTGTTTAATGAAATCGCGATATTCTTTAAATTTGATTATCAAAATCGGAGTTACATATTTTAGAAATTATTTGGTGCAACATAAATGATTTGTGATGCCTACTGTGGCTAAGATTTACGCAGTTCTCACGAACATGCATTGATTTTGAATTATCCCTTTTACTAAAAATTTTGTGTATGACGATTTTTGTTAATAAAATTTATTTGCTCTCTAAAATGTAAAATATTTAAAAGAAATTAAATGGACTTTTTTTATTACAAAATAGTCATGCCTGAAAGACTTTTTCTGTAGTGATTAATTAATGTTTTGTGTCATTATAGTTTCAATCACTAATACATATAATTTAATCACAAAATTTTAGAAGAAACTTTAGTTGAATTTTAAAAGAACGATTATTTTCATTATATTGATTTATTTTTTTCTATTAATTTTTAATGTACTATGTATATATTAAGAGTGATGATTAAGAAACATCTCGTATGCAATAAGTTTTGTGTCTTGTGCAATATGTGATTCAGTCCTGGAAGAAGAGTTGCATAGTCTTAAAAGCAGATTTGTTTTGGTTTAATGCATGTTCTTGTTTTTAAAAAAGTGGAAATGTTATTAAATTTATTTACTTTAAAAAATAATTATTAATTGTGCAAATTGTTGTGATAATAAAAAATGAGAGAAACTGCTATAAATGTATGAGTCTATAAAAATATGCCACTCATTGTTCGATAATTTCTTCGGTATTATTTTATTTATATATTCCAATGAGTATATTAGTTTCAAAATATTATAATGCCTATTTATTTGTTTATTTTATTTTGTGTTTTTATTATATAAATATTTACACAGATCAAACAGACAAATTATAAAAATATAGTCTGCCACTTATTAATTACTGTATATCCACGTTGCTGTTTCTAATGACACTTGAACCAGCCAAGCTTGCCAGCCATTGGCCTTTTGCCAATTAAGTCAGGAAGGTGCACCTTTCGTTTGACAAGAGAGCACCACAAGTGTGAAAATACGTCTTGACTCAGAACCACACGGAACGGCAGCACCACTCATTCGTGAGTCAATTTCGGCATAGGGGAAGAAAATTTTCTCCAGATGCTTGTACCCATGGTACTAGTCACAAGACTTTCCATTACTCAGATTTTACGAACACGTATATCTCATGCACTCGCCTAATTTTAGCAGAATCTAGGATCGAACCCTGTCCTTTCCGGACAGGAGTCCGATTCTCTGACCAATGGGCTACCACGGCCTTATATATCCCTTTCCCCCTTAAAGATGCAAAGTAATAAACCCTTGTAAGAATATAATCTTTAATTCAAGCAAAGAGAATTATTTCATTATATAATTTAGTATACACAGTAGAATTCTGTCTTAAATCTTTCTTTAAATAAAGTTTTTTTTTTCTTTTAAATACTATCACCTCCCCACACTCTCGTGGCCTTTAGTCTAAAATTTCGGACTAAAGAGCATTTAATTACTTACCAAAGATGATTTCGGCTTGTACTATTTATATCTGCTATGCAGCTTGCCTGAATTATTTTCCAAATACTATGTAAACGATTTGTCTTATTTTGTATTTATTTTAGCTGTGCATAGGAAAATAATCTGTTTACTTCATGATTTTATTTATGTTTGTGTTATTATTTGATATTTTGTATTACTAACAGAAATATTTTAGAAAACTGTATACTTCATCTCGTCGTTTTACTCGCAACTAAATTATTTATTTCATACATACCAAAACATGATATTTTTATTATCAATATTTATTCTAGAGCTTATTATATTATTCGAGAAAATATTCTATGTTTTGGTTTTGGTTCATTTTAGCTAGTCGAGAATTTTTTTTTCTTTCTAGTCTTTTACTTTCTGTAAAAATATTTAAATTGTAGAAACTCCTGAAGAAAGATAATAAAGTATTTTTTATTTTGAAAGTTGTTCCATTTCATAATTTAATTAACATTTTAGAGTTTATACTTTATTTCAGAATTATTTTTTCCTATTTCTAATTTTTTTATTTTGGTAAAATTTAAGAAATATTTTTGGAGTTTCGTCCGGGACGAAAAATAAGTTATGCAGCTCCATAGATACGTTATTTGGAATAAATAACTATGTATTTTCAAACAAATGAAATTTGCATGTGTTATGTTGTCACTGCCCTTAATGTGTATTTTTCGAATCCTTGTTAAAAATGAAAGCAAAAAATTTACGCACTAAGAGTTAAAAATTATTATGTAAAGGAGGTAATTTTTTGAGAGGGATCTGACAAATCACTGACAAGGCGGGAGTGTATAATATCAAAAAGTTTTTTAAATAATTGTCCTTTATTCATGTCTTCTGTTTTTTTCGGCAATCAAACAGATTTTTATGTTTACTGTCCAATAAAAATGATTTGTATGATTTCAAAAATATTTTTCCATGCCTAGCCTAAATATAATTTGTGAACCCCATTTCTTTTCAATCAATTCAATTTCGTTTTCAAAAGTGATGGTCGCTAAAATAAATTGAGTGGTACAATAAAAGTAATTAAACAAAGGAATCTCTATTAGACAGAAGAAAATAAATTGTGTGACGCAATAAAAGAAAATAAAACAGAAAAAAATTTATTCGTTAACAATTTATTTAAATAAATTTATTTCATTATGTCAATTCAAACAGATTTTATCTCTCTTGACTTCAGTTTTTTTATATTTAAAAAAAATTTCAATGTTAATGTATTTCATTTACGTCGCACTAGAACCAAAGAATATAGAGAGGTGAAGTCCAACTCTTAAAATACGTAACTAACGCGGGGAACAATTCGGTTTGGTATATACCAGAAAAAACAACTTACAGAGTAAGCAACATACTCAGATTTAATAAAGCTTCTTATGTACTAAGATCCAGCGCATGCGCATAAAGAGCAAAGTGATTGTCAGGAGGTACGCCTCCTGTGAACCGTATGTTTGTCAACTTTACCACTGCCACTACCATTTTAGTCTTTCTTTGTCAAAATGAGTTAGCAGATTTAATCAACATGAATGATATTAATGTATTCACAAAGGAATATATTTATTAGCAGTACAGTACTGTTTATGAATAGGGTAGAATGCAGAACAAACCAATCATAAATAAAAAAAGAAAATTTTCCTTCTTCGCCCTCACCCCAGTAGTGGTTGGAAGGAGAGAAGGGTTGAAATCAGTTTCAAGAACTTCTGTTGCGTCTTCCTAAATGTTGCTCCTTCCTTTATACGCAGGAATCACACCACCTTGGAGAATCGGTTTACATTATGCTTACGGAAGCTAGCCTTCTCCCCCTATGTATATTTTTCACTAGAACTGCGCAATTGGCTGGGCTATTGGCAACGGACTGGGAAATATCCCTAAGGATGATCCGAAAACATGCCATCACAATTTTGATCTTCTGCAGAGAAAGTCGAGAGTCTAATGTCGCAGTATTAAGAAGTTAGTTTACATGCCAAAATGGAAAATAACAAATCAACGAATTAAATATCTAAAGATGCCTTACGGGAAAAGAAATTATAAAATTAAACCTCACTGTTCAATTGGAAATACAGAATATGACTGAATAACCTATAAACATAAGTGAGTGACTGTCTGTATTTCCAATTAATTAGTTTGATTTAATATTATAATTTTTTAGCCCGTTCAGCATTTTAAATTAAAATTATTTAGTTGCATTTCCACAAGCTGCTGAGCGTATCGCGTGTTATTTTTGTCTACAAATTTAGCAGTTAACAATTCTCGAACTAATCATCGAAAGTTATTTTTTTATTTCATCGTATTATCTGTACATTTTTTAGACACTTTAGCAATTCCAACTTTTTGAGTGATGTTGTTTTTTCGCGACAAAACAAAATGTTATGTTAAGTTGAACTCCAAAAGAGAGGTGGCACAACTCTTACGATATTTGTTAATATAGAAAGATTTAAATTCATCCACAAATTCAAACATTGAAAATTCAAGTTTAACTTACATTTAAACATTAATCAAATTTAAGATAGTAATATATTCTTTATTTTCAAAGACACCATCTTCAAGTTGCAAAAAGTAAGAGAAAAATATTTTATATTTTAAAAACAGGTATTTCAGTTGAGAAACATGTATAAAAGCTTTTTGTGAAAAGAAAGGTTAAATCATTTTTAAATTTGAAATTTGTGAAGAATGATTTTATTAAAATTACCTTTTAAAAATAAAGACATTTTTTTTCTCATCCGATATTAATTTATTTATTTAAAATTCACAATTGTACAAATATTTGAAGAAATAAATTTAATTATTATGCTCTTAGACAGATAGTTAAAGTCAGAAATAATCGAATTACTTTTTTCATTTAAAATTTCACTTAGCAAGAAAAATTATAACATATGTTTTTAATGCTATTCGCATAAAATATTTTTATTATTTTTTAGCACGAGTTTTACTGCAAGTTTTTATTTTCACAATTTTTTGAAATGCGTAACTAAAATATTACTTTTTTCATGTTTTATACAATTTTCAGTTTGCTCTAGTATTTCCTTTACGCTCGTCTTTAACAAACGTCTGAGTAAAGTTGTTTGAATTTAATATTAACGTCATTCAGCGTGAGCAGAACTAAGCACTAAAAATTCAACAACAGCGTCAATCCAAATTGAATTTAACGTATATAAAAAAAATAAGCTACCTGTCTAAATTTCGT